ATGAAGCTTACAGGGAATATGGCACCAAAAGGGAGTTGGGGAGCGTTTGGGGAACATCTGTAACGGTTCCCGTTACAATTAGCACTAGTTATGTTCCCCAAACGAAGTTGGGGAACATATTGTTTTTACTCTGTTTCTTATTATTATTATTATTATTATTCCTGGGAAAATTTTGTCCACGAGTGATCTTGTAAACTATACATCCGACTTAGGTGAAACCTTTTTAGGGTCAGTAGGCATGTTATGTAGAGTTGCCGAACGAAGGTCATTTTGCACGCACGTGCTTGCAAGAGCGGGCACGTGCAACACTTGAAATGACCAATATAATGTATACTGCCGTAACTTTTCTATTTTTTGATGAAATGCTTTGAAACTCATAATATAAGGATATATTAGTACTAAAGACAAGATGACATTGTCAAAATAGCAAGATCTCACGCGCATGCACGTGCGCTTTGCTCTGATTGGCTGAAACTAAAGTCTCAATATCTTTCTTGTTTTTTAACAAAATCCTTTGAAATTTTGAACATAGTCACGCATTAGGATATCCTACAACATGATATATAGCAATTATGAAAACACGTGCATGCACGTGCGCTGCAATCTGATTGGCTGAAACTTTAAACAGCTATATCTCCCTTCGTTTTCAACCAAACAGGATGGGATTTGGAATATAGATATATATAATGGACTTCTACAAGAAGGTATGGTCACCATGCACATGCATACACGTGTGTATACGTATGCTGCAATCTGATTGGCTGAAACTTTAAACAGCTATTACTCCCTTGGTTTTCAACCAAACAGGATGGGATTTGGAACATAGATATACAAATGGACTTCTACAGGAAGGTATGGTCACCATGCACATGTATACATGTTCGTGTACGTGCGCTGCAATCTGATTGGCTGAAACTTTAAACAGCTATAACTCCCTTGGTTTTCAACCAAACGGGGTGGGATTTAGAACATAGATAGATGTAATGGACTTCAAAAGAAAGTATGGTCACCATGCTCATGTATGCACGTGCGTGCACGTGAAATGGGTAAAATCAAAAATACACTTGAATTAGCGTTTGTTTTTTTTTTTATACTTTTGGATTAAGTACTTTAATATTTAGCATATCAAAATATATAGATTGTGTAGACAATAAGATATGGTTTTTACGCACATGCATTCACATGCGCAAGTGTGCAATGATAAAATTTGAATGAACATGGTACACTTCTGGGTAAACGTTGTTAAAGTCTCAAACGCATAGAGTTTGTCTTATTTAATAACGCTTACAGGGAATATGACGTTGAAAGTGAGTTGGGGAGCGTTTGGGGAACATCTGTAACGGTCCCCGTTACAATTAGCACTAGTTATTATTATTTTTCTTCTTCTTCTTCTTCTTCTTCTTCTTCTTCTTCTTCCTGGGTACTTTTTTGTCCGGGAATGATCTCGCAAACTATACATCCGACCAAGGTGAAATGTTTTTAGGGTCAGTAGACATGTTATGTAGATTTGCGGAATGAAGGTCATTTTGCGCGCACGTGCTTGCAAGAGCGTGCACGTGCAACATGTGAAATAACCGATTTAATTGATATAGGCGTAACTTTTTCAATTTATGATGAAATGCTTTGAAAATTATAATATAAGGATATATTAGTAGCATAGACAATATGAAATGGTCAAAATAGCAAGATCTTACGCGCATGCACGTGCACTTTGCTCTGATTGGCTAAAACTAAAGTCTCAATATCTTTCTTGTTTTTTGACAAAATCCTTTGAAATTTTGAAAATAGCCATGCATTAGGATATCCTACAAAATGATGTATAGCAATTATCATGAAAACACGTGCATGCACGTGCGCTGCAATCTGATTGGCTGAAACTTTAAATAGCTATAACTCCCTTGATTTTCAACCAAACAGGATGGGATTTGAAACATAGATAGATATACTTGACTACAACAAGAAAATATGGTCACCATGCACATGCATACACGTGCATGTACTTGCGCTGCAATCTGATTGGCTGAAACTTTCAACAGCAATAACTCCCTTGGTTTTCAACCAAACGGGGTGGGATTTAGAACAAAGGTAGATGTAACGGACATCTAGAAGAAGGTATGGTCACCATGCTCATGCATGCATGTGCGAGCACGTATGTGCACGTGAAATGAGCAAAATAAAAAAAAACACTTGAATTAGCGTATCTTTTTAAAACTTTTGGATTAAATACTTTAATGTTTAGTATATTAAAATATATAGATTGTGTAGACAAGATGTTATGGTAATTACGCACATGCATTCACATGCGCACGCGTGCAATGCTAAAATTTGAATGAACTTTGTACACTTCTTAATAAACGTTGTTAAAGTTTCAAATGCATCGAGTTTGTCTTATTTAAAGCTGAACACTTCTCATAAATAGCCACTGTCAGACGGGTATATAAACCGTTCGCTTTCGTTTCACCCGATTGCACACTTGAAACTTGTGGCCGACATGTAGTACTCCTATCGTGGTCTTATACTTTTTGCGTTTATTTCTTGTGTTTAGGTGCATTTTCTGTTTGTAAATAATTTATTGACCTGTATTTGTCATGATACTTTTGTCCTGTTTTGGAAAAAATAAGTAAATTTTGATAATTTCATCGATATTGAGTAGCACGCTTTGTAAGATATACGTCTGCACTCGTCGGATCTCTATAGTAAAATACATTGAACTGACTAGCGATCTGCTCCTTATATACGAGTTGTAGGGAGAGCGTTGAAGAACGAGAAATATGGCGGGCTATGCCTATTTACGAGTAGAGTTCAGCTTTAATGAAGCTCCCAGGGAATATGGCACCCAAAGGGAGTTGGGGAGCGTTTGGGGAACATCTGTAACGGTTCCCGTTACAATTAGCACTAGTTATTATTATTATTATTTTTCTTCTTCTTCTTCTTCCTGGAACTTTTTTGTCCGGGAATGATCTTGTAAACTGTTCGTCCGATGTAGGTAAAACCTTTTTAGGGTTAGTAGACATGTTATGTAGATTTGCGGAATCAAGGTCATTTTGCGCGCACGTGCTTGCAAGAGCGTGCACGTGCAACACGTGAAATGACCAATATAGTAGATATAGCCACAACTGTTCTATTTTTAGATGAAATGCTTTGAAACTAATAATGTGAGGATATATTAGTAGTAAAGACATGACGACATGGTGAAAATAGCAAGATCTCACGCGCATGCACGTGCACTTCGCTCTGATTGGCTGCAACTAAAGTCTCAATATCTTTCTTGTTGTTTGACGAAATCCTTTGAAATTTTGAACATAGCCATGCATTAGGATATCCTACAACATGAAATAAAGCAATTATCATGAAAACACGTGCATGCACGTGCGTTGCAATCTGATTGGCTGAAACTTTAAACAGCTATAACTCCCTTGGTTTTCAACCAAACAGGATGGGATTTGGAACATAGATAGATATAATGGACTTCTACAAGTAGGTATGGTCACCATGCACATGCATACACATGCGTGTACATGTGCTGCAATCTGATTGGCTGAAAGTTTAAACAGCTATAACTCCCTTAGTTTTCACCCAAACGGGGTGGAATGTAGAACATAGATAGATGTAATGGACTTCTACAAGAAGGTATGGTCACCATGCTCATGTATACACGTGCGTGCACGTGAAATGAGTAAAATCAAACATACACTTGAATGAGTGTATTTTTTAAATAATTTTGGATTAAATACTTTAATATTCAGTGTATTAAAAATATAGATTGTGTAGACAATATGATATGGTCATGACGCAAATGCATTCACATGTGCACGCGTGCAATGCTAAAGTTTAAATGATTTTTGTACACTTCTTTGTAAATGTTGTTAAAATCTCAGATGCATAGAGTTTGTCTTATTTAATGAAGCTTACAGGGAATATGGCACCAAAAGGTAGTTGGGGAGCGTTTGGGGAACATCTGTAACGGTCCCCGTTACAATTAGCACTAGTTTGATTTGCATTTAAGTTTAACCTTGAAGTTCGCTATATTGCCATATGGTGGCATCAGTGTTTCACAAACACATCTTGTTCCTTTTTCATTTGATTCGATGTTGGATTTTTTTTTATCTAAGATTTTTACATCATTTCAGTCTTTCTAGGGGCATTCAATTCCCTAAACTTATTTGTGTTGTATTTTTGCTCCTGTACTCAATTTTCGTATTGAAGCATATAGCAGAGGAGCAAATATATACAATTGTAGTGTACAAATCTAATTTTAATTTGATTGGTGGATTCCCTAAAAATATTATAATATAAGCATGTTTGGGGGTTCTGAAAGGGAAGGGAACATCCAGAAGGAAAATCTACTCACCTAAACAAAAATTTGACAAGCAAAAAAAGGGGGGACTGCTTTCAAACTCGACAATCCCAGTGGCTATTTTGCGTGTTTGTGTCTTGAGGGGGTGAGGTGGGGAGTTCCAAGTTTACTAAACCTAATTCTTTTTAATATTTTACCAAATAACAATGATTGAACCAGGGTAAAAGGGGGGCAACCAGCCTTTTGGTAAAAACTCTGGATAATAAAATCCATGCTTTATGTTTTGAGAAAAGTACCACCACCCCACCTACTCCAATTATATATTTATTTTATTTCAAAGTGCACATGCAATTTATGATGCAGATGCAGCAAACACCACCATCATATGCATCTTTTTTTCGATGGTAATTAAGTTGAAAGGGAGGCAGGGGAGAACATTTAATTATAAAAGATATAAATTTATATGACACCCCCAATAAAACTCCGAAATTTGTGAGTGTTTTAAATCGAAGAGAACTTCAGTGTACGTGTATCTACGTAAGTAAATGATCCTTTACAAAAAATACCACGTGAACATTTAAATGCTGGGTGCTTTATAAGGTTACCGAGATATTTCTATGTGTGTTGGTTTTGGATTAGGTTCAATAATGTTGAATGTTTAAATGTTCATAAATCTTGACGAAAAGAAATTTAAGCTCTCTATCTCGCACATTTCATGTGTACAACTCAGGAGAATATACATGTATTGATTAAATATGGAATTTAAGTGACATTTCTGGTTGTGAATTATAACATATTTCATGGCTCAACGTGTGGTTAAAAATGTTGAAAACGACTACTTAATTTGCAGCATTTGTTTAGGAAGATATGAAAACCCTAAACTACTACCGTGTGGGCATACATTTTGTCGTCAATGTTTAAACGACCATATTACTTTGACAGTTACGGACCGTGCGGCTCAAGGGTTCAATTGCCCAAATGACCGATCCCTTGTGAAGCGACCGAAAGTGGGTCTAAATCCAAAGCAATGGGCGGACGCTTTCCCCACAGACACCTTTCTTGTGAGTTTAGTACAAGCTGTAGCCTCGCACGAAGGCGGGGGTCCTCCGCCAGTCGGAGCAAATGCTTCCCAGAACACCGAACAGACGACAGAGGGCGAAGTGGCGGGAAGTTCTAATGGTCCTCGATGTGAAAAGCATCCTGACAGACAGATTGAGTTCTTCTGTCTTGGTTGTAGTGCTTCAATATGTCCAGTGTGTGCCGTGAGAGAACACAGAAAAAGGACGTGTGAGTGTGTCTCTGTGTCCGAAGCGATGGAGAGACAGAGGCCAAGAATTCAAGCATTGAAAAGAAGATTCGAAACTCAGATTCAAAAGATTCAAAGGTTGAATCGGGGAGATGGAATCCTAAACGGCACCTTCACAAGCAGTAAAGAAAGAGCATTGAATACACTGAATGACATAGAAGCAAAACTAGGTACGTTTTTCCAAGTGATTCTCCAACAAGTGGAAGTTCTTCGTCAGCAAGTAAACGAGGCAACAGTGAATTTCGCGGGCGAAAACCAGCAGCTAAACTCTGTTCTTGAAAACATAGAATCGACAAAGCTTACTTTTGAAAACATGTGCAATATTAATTATAGTGCTGAGGTTTTGAATATTCTACCCAGGATGGAAACACAAGCAGACGAGTTTGACACTGCCATGCAAACTGCCAATCAAAATGCCGGAATGCAACTCGATGTTGTCACCAATACTTCATTTGAAAGTTTCCTACGTAATCCTCCACCAATCGGTACCCTTAAGGTTACACGTGGTAGTAGAAACAACGCCAGAAGACCACCCAACAGACGGGACCAAACCAGAAACAACGTACGCAGTGGGAACCCATCTCAGGAATACCAAAGGCAGACATCCACTGGAGCTGTCCGACCGACAAACACTCCTCGGCCTACACGAGAACCACGGCCAACGAGAACGATCAGCAAAGTCAATGTCAAAGTGGCCTCAGAGGCAGTATCTGCTTGGCATTTGACAGGTGTCGTTTTTGTTGGAAATACCATTGTTGTAACAGACAACTTAAATGAGATGGTTCGACAAGTGTCTATATCCTCACAGGCTCTGAATCTCACATTGCCCTTAGAAAAACCAGTTTCAATCTGCAACGTGTCTTGTCCTACAGACGTCGCAGTGACACAACCAGATAAAAGAACCATTACGATAATATCAACAGAACGAGGATTGAATGTTAAAGGGACTGTGCGTACCAACAAAGCTTACGAAGGGATCGCTCAGATGCAGAGTGGGGACTTTGTAGTGTCCTGCATCCAAGGCAGAATGTCCATTGACGTCATCGATAGAGGAGGTCACGTGTTAAAATCGATTGAACGGTCTTACTCTTTACGATGCCCGCGCTTCCTGTCTGTTACCTCTGCAGGGAGAGTGATCGTCACCGACAAGGAGCAGAAACACATTGTAAGCCTCAACTTCGAAACTAGCCAATTAGACTGGACCTATTCTACCCAGTACTCTCCCTGGGGATTGGCTTGTGACCAGGATGGGAAAATATTCATTTGTTTGGATAACAATTCTGTACAAGTCGTCTCCGAAGAAGGCCACCTAATTCAGGACAAATTTGTTACCGAAAACGATGGAATTAAAACACCACATGCAATATGTGCGCGTCGCGGACAAATTGCCATGACTGAATTTGGACCAAGTTTGTTCGTTCCCAACAGTCCTTTTGTGTATATTGCAAAATTCAGTAGCTAAATTCCACGTATCTTGCCGTTATAGGTCCTCCATAAACATTTGAACATATTCAGTTTCTTCCCATAAATAGCTAGCTTTGGCCAAATTAAGTGAAGGAACACAAAAATTATATATCTATCTACTGATGATTGAGAGGTGGACCCAATTCTTTTGGAAACTAATATTTAAGAAACCTTTTGGACGTCAGACAAGCAAGTTCTAGTAAATAATCACAGGCACTTGAAGTAACTTATTTTTCTTTTGATAAAAAGAAACACACCCATACCTAATACTGCAGGGGCCCGTTTTACAAAAGGACTTAAGACTTAAGACCAAATTCAATTCTTCAAATAACCTTTTAATTAATTAACTTTATATCGAAAATCATTTTCACTTTCTTTAAAGGAGTGTGGTAAGATATTTTTACACAAAAAATTTCAAAGAGAATCATTAATTTTGAAAAATTTTACAATCATCTGATGTTTTTGGTCTTAGTCGTAAGTTATTTTGTAAAACGGGCCCCAGTAATATGTTTTTTTTTATTAAAAGATAATTGATAAAATTCACCAATAATGGGGTTGATCTTAAAAATATCTTTAAAATCTCTCCTTAACTGGATATTTAGCAGATGAACTGTATTTATGTCAAGACGTTGACTTTTTCAAGACGTGAATGTTTCGGGTACTGATTCCATTGCGCCATCATCTTTAATTAAACCTTATAGTTAATATGAGTTTACATTTTGTATTAAGAATGAGTGACCCCTCTCCCCCTCCTCTCGCACAGGTATCTGCAATATGCATGTACATGTTAGTCTCCATGACATTGTCATTAGTATAAATCAATGTACCATTCTTAATTTTACAGGAATTTCCAGGATTTCATGAACATGTGAATATATAATTTCACTTTTTTCATATTATATGTAAATTTCATTATGGTTGTGCATATATTAAAATTACGGAACCAGTTTTTCTTGGTTTAACAGCTAAAACTGGTTTTGTTGAACATAAATCATGAACTGGTATTTTGTGAGTTAGACAGTTAACTTGTTTTGTTTGTTGTTGGTTTTTTTGTATCCTATAAATATGTAATTCGAATACCATATCTCGAAATGAAGTCCCAATTACTTCTTGTGTATTTTATTCTAGGTATCTCGAATCCTCGGGTGTCTAAATGTTTTCATTAGGTCCCATTGAGTTCGAAATAACGAGGTTTATATGTCAAAGGATCTGACTGCAGACGGACAACCTTCAGCCACCCCCTTTCTTCCCACGTTTTAAGACCTCGATGTTTTAAAGTGATGGGGATGTCCGTCTGTACGTCCGTCTGTTACGCTTTGGAGTACCCATCTCTTATCCACAACTTCTATTTCACTGTATCAAATTTAATGATACGTTCACATATTCTTTATTACATGATGCCATTGTGCATGCACCTTCTATTTTACTTTTTGATCTGACACTTATTTCGGGTTTCCCAGAGCAAAACATGGACTTTGCCACTGAGAATATGTCACCTAAAAATTACATTGTAAAAAGTTGACATTTTTACCAATGAAAGAACAAATACATGTACTAATATATATTTTTTAAGAAATCAAATTTCCGGTAATGTAGCCATTAAATACCATTATTAATAGGAAATGAAATAATTATAGGTATTAAAAACAAACGATTAAAAAGGTAAGGGTGCATGTTCAAGGTCAAATGAAATGTCAAGATCGGAAATGTTGACAATTGCGTATCTTCGACTAAAATGTATTGTTGTGTTAGTTTTGAATATCTTCACTAATCGCTTTGAAATCAATTGATTTAAAATTTTTATCACAAAATATATAGGTAATAGATTGGTCAAGATCACAAGGAATGTCAAGGTAAGAAAATAATGCCGCAGTTGAAAAATTTTAGATAATTATCTAAAATGTGATTGCATAAGAAATCCGCTTTGTATCTTCAGTGGTTGCTTTGAAACTGACTAAAACACCATTTGGGAATAGTGAAATCAATGTCACGGGTAAGGTCAAGGTCATGAATTTTAGCCAAAGTCAAAAAGCTCAGCCTCTTTTGTATCGGTGCATCATTAAACCTTTCTTGGACATTTTATTTGATACTGAGCTAGACGTAAAGTGTGACGCACAGATGGTCAGAATGGCATCGATCTGACAGTGCTAATATATAAGGAGACGATGACCTTACCCTCTTGGGAAATCGGACCCTCCAAGTCTTAAATGGCGAGGGGAGCCATATTTCTTAAGGAAACTGACTTTCTTGATATTCAAAATTTTTAATGATGTGAGAAACTTACCTTGTGTGACCCCTCCCCCTTTTTTTTTGGGGGGGGGGGTTAAAGTGCAACAACTCGCTCGTAGTCCAGCAGCAGTCGAATTTTCGTACAAGTTTCTTTATAACTGAATCAAGATTAATGAATAGACGCGGACCAAGTATGCATGACTTTTCCGACCAACATAACATGGGTCAGGGGTCATTTAAGTTACCTTGCTATGTACGCCGCAAATTTCAGCGAAGGGCGTGTACCCCCTCAAGATCAGATCTTCACAAGCTGTTGGAGATCAATCGAAGTAATGCTCTTAACAATTCCAAATCTTTTGTAGCTATAATAGATTTATTTTTTTATTTACTTTATACTTCGAATAAATTTATATTTTTCTTGCAAAAGGACCCCCCCCCCCCTAAATTAATCGATATATGTAAGCACTATCAAACATACTTTCTAAAATAATTACACAATTAAACCCTAGGTCATCAAAATTTTCAAAGTACATGCATGTTGCAAAATACCATTATCATCTGCATTTGGAATTTATGCCTCTCGGTTGAATTGAATCGAATCGCAGGAGTCTACATACGAACAATTTCTCAAACAAGGCAATATATTGACAAACAAGTTGATGATACTAAGATATCAATAGTATTGTTTAAAATCAATATTCAACAAATTAAATGCATATTTTTATCCAGTCAAATGTTGGCTTTCATTTTTAAAAAAAATAAATTGTTGATTTTCACACTGACTTATTTACGTATTTTCTAATTTACTTAAGAACCAGGGCCTCTCTACACTGCACACTAAAGAGTTCAGATTCTTTGGTATTCTTCTGCTGTTAGAGTGACCTGCCCTTAAATATTAATTCTAACATATAGAAATCAATAATGCACAATTTATAATCAATTCAAGTATTCATAACATTTTATAGGCCAAGATAAGTTAATTGAACATGTTATTTACATGTATTTTCCTTGTGGAAGTAAACAACAGTGATTTCTATTTACTGATACTGTGTTGTGTTTGATTTTCTTTCCTGGGGGTAAATTCTACATACCATATAGTAAGTATGAATAAGCTCAATATCAACACCTTTATAGAATATATTTTTCTCAATGTCCAACATACATTTTGCGCATCACTGGTGTAGAGAGGGTCCTTAATCATGACACAGAACACATAGCAGGCATGACTAGTCAACATGGGATGCTTACTTCCCCATGGTGCCTGATCCCTCATCTTTTTTTCAGAAGTAGTGTAATAGTTTGCTCTGCACTGGATTTAAATTGTTTCAATTAACTTATGAGCTTTATTACTGCTTGTTATCTTTATATAATAGGAATACATAGAAAATGACAAGCATTTATAGAGACTTCATAATAGCATTTAAAATACAATGTATACATTACTAGTATATCATAGACCTACATCATAGACCTAAAGCACTTTAGGTCTATGATTATATATTATTTATGACTTTTACTGTGTAATTCAATAAATATTCTTGTTTGCTTGATATCATAATTATGTGAAAGTATGTTCACATTGACTCTAATTACTAGAAATAACTGGAGAAAAATTCAGATGTGTTTGTAATAGTAAAGCCTTAAAAGCTTATAAAATCTAAAAAATGAATTTGTTAAAATTGTCTTTTTATTGTTTCAAAAGGGTAATATGTATAGTTATAGTTTATACTACTCAACTCGAGGTCAGATGCAAAAACTATATGATGCAGACAAATTTAAATCACATTTTATTCATGAAAACTCTAATTATGCAAATGTTGAGATTATCTTGAAGAACATAATATACAACTAGTTCTCCACAGTAATAGGTTAAAATAACAATTACAAAAACTTCAAGTTACACATCATCAGATTTTAAATAATTCTACAACCTGGAAATTAGCAAGAATTGTGACATGGAAGCTCATAAAAGCATGATTAACTGAAATATTGTATCTCAGATCCACTAAAATAGTTGTACATGTTCATTCCTTTAAAACATTTTCAAAAAATATAAATATAAATAAAACTGTCTCTTGTTCTTCACAATAGGTACATTTAGGAAGATGCATCTTTCATTGTCATTCATTCTAGTAAGCTATGTAACAAAGAACAATGCATGTCTTCTTTCATTTCAAACAAGTAGTTACTGAGGTATAAAATACATTAGCATTTTAAAGCTGCTTGCATGGCAAGTCTCTACGTTTTTTTTAAACACAGTCAAATCTCATTATTAAAAAAAAAAGTTATATTAAAAATATGCAATGCAATATAATTTACTCTTATTTGCAACATTTCAGGATACAATGCAATGAATCCCTTAATTTTTGTGCAGACTATCGGAAACTGAACATGAATGCACAAATGTTTATGTTATGTCTGTATCTATAATCAGAATGCTCCACAAAGCTATGCACACTGTACTGCTTTGCACCAATCTTGTTTTCACACATTTTTTTTGCTCTATATTAATCTTTCAAAAAATAATTTGGGAGTACTATTTGGCATTATCACACTGGTCCAGTAATCCACATCAGCAAAAGATGCAGTCATCACTTTGCCCTGGATCTTCAAACTAATCCCTCCTGACCTTTGCCCTTGATTTCTTTGGTGTCACCTCCACACTATCCCCTTCATTTTTCCCAAGAAGTTCTTGTACAAACTTGAATTTGGACAAGAAAAGTTTCCATACAAGATACCATCCTGTAAAGGAAGTAATTAATATACCTATAAAAAAAAACTCTTCTGTTGTGTTGTAAATACCAAATATCATACTGTACATTATGAACTGAATAAGCTGGTGGTTTGACAGCCCCCCCCCCTTTCCTGTTCAGAATCAGAGCATGTATTTAACGCACAGACTGTTACTACTGTTTTTGCTCACAGTCACAAGCAAATATGACAGTACAAAGGCATCCTATGGCGATTTTCACAATGTCATAACCCAGTCTGCTTCATGAAGTTCCCCAGTTCTTGTATTTCATTGTTCATCACTTCATGAATAGAAAGTAGAAAGATATGCTTTGGAAACAATAATCCCATTTGGAATGAAGCACAGAACAACAGTGCTATAACCAGACTGACAATTGTCAAATTCTAATATAACTTACCACAGCCTATAAAAAGTATTACTGCGACCAGTGCAACAGCAATAGTGAAAAAAGTAAGTAAAATTTCTAACACATCAGCCATGAAATCAGCTGATAGCAGACATCCGGAAGTATATAAAGATTTCTGCAGAAAAATTGTTAAAAGTGTAATTTTTGTCTAATTTTATTTCTTTTTTGCATATGTCTTTATATAACCAAAAATTAAAAAAAAAACAAATTTTTTTGGTCATTCATTAAAAATTTAATAGTCAGCCCGATACTGCAATTTGGAAAATAATAATCATCATGGCGCTGGCCGATGCCTGTGGCTTGAAAACAAACCAGTTTAAAAATGGACTTCTGAGCGATTTTGGAGGAACACCAACACATTTATTAAGCGATGTATTAGCTACAACAAACAACTTTACTGTACCTTATGGCATTGACGTAAGAGAACAATTATAAAAGAAATAATCAAACTTTGCATTCTCATTCAAGTAATTCGAATTTCCTCAAATATTTCAAAATGTAAATAAACTAAATTAAGATTTTGTTTTATTTAGCCGGTTGAGAATTTGAAAGAATTTACAAACCCTAACAGCGAAGTCAAGATCCATTTTGACCACGGAACTACAACTCTTGCTTTCAAATTTCAACATGGTGTTATTGTTGCAGTGGACTCTAGAGCTACAGCTGGACCATCTATAGGTATTTAAGAAAAATCAATCTGTAGGAATACAGCAATACTTTTATGGTTTGGCTTTTTGTGTGAGTGCAGCTGTTAAACCAGGGCCATACGACATTATTAAATTAATTTAAAGATAGAACATTCTTAGGGCTTAAAAAAAATGTGTTTGTTTCCTGAAAAATTAAGGGTCGGTAGGTTGGGAATTCTTTTTTTTTTTTTTTTTCTTTTTTTTTTTTTTGCTTTTGAATAGTCTAGCATCCCCGGACTGAATATACCAGGTGTCATATTTACAGTGGACACCCAACATGGCATCCAAAATGGCTGCCTAGCGGAAGAAAACGAACTTCAGAAAGTTGAAGGGGGAAATTGTTGTTACAATAATGATTACTCTTTATAACTAAGGTAAATGTAAAATAGGTTGACATATTTTATGTCTCAAGTTAAGCTACAAGCTATTTTTTTCTGATAAATGGAATCAGCTGATTGATCAAACGAAGTTTTGCCATTTGTCAGAAAAAAAAATCCACCCGGGGGTAATTTTAATGGGTCGGTCTGGTTACAGGAAACAAACATATTTTTTTTTTTAGGCCTAGTATCTAAGTTGTACTATTCTCTATAGGAAAGTTAACTCGTTTAAATCCCCCCCTTTTAACTTTCTACAAAGGCTTAATAATAATAATATGGCAAAACAGATGATTAAATGAAAACCAAACTGGACCACACTTCAATCAATGTTTTAGGTCTGATGCGACATTTAACATTTACGTCACTCGACTGACAAGGGTTAGTCTTGCACACTTTTCGACTGATTAGAGTTAGTCTTGCACCTACCTGAGAGATAAGGGTTAGTTCTTGCACAAGTATTCGACTGATTAGGGTTAGTCTAGCACCCATCCCAGAGATTAGGGTTAGTCCTTGCACATTATTAGTCTAGCATCAGGGTTGGAAATTCGCATAAAATTGCAGCCAGCCACAGGGCTGGCTACTTTTAAAAGTTACCAGTCCTGCTCGAAATCTACCAGTCCTGATAAAATGCTCATCATTATGAATTTACTATATAAATAAAGCTTATATTTACACTTGTAACATAGGACTTACATCCCCTTGCAATTTTCACATTTTACACAACATTGGAAACCATATCTGATCATAAACCAGGGGATGCATATTTTAAGTTTAACATGCTTTAAAACTATTAATTAATCTAGTCATCAGTGATCTATATAAATCTTCCATGGACCAACCTAGTCCCAAAATTAATGGAGAGTTCACTTCTCCCTCAGAGAAATTTAGGGAGACGAGTTCTTGGATTACGTGGTGCACCTTAATCATTATTAAACTCTTTAGAAATAAAAACATTTCATAAATCATTGTTTATAACTTATAAATACATTATAATAGTTATTTTGTATTATCAGGGACCTATAGTATGTAGGTCCCTGGTATTATTTAAACAACCTAGGTTAAAAAATTAATTTTTTACACAATTAACACAATTAACCTTTAAAAGATGAACCCCCTTTTTTCTCTTCTTGTTTAAGATTTTCAGCTCTTGGCATAGTCATTATTTTGTTCTCTTCAAAATTCGTTTTCAATTTTAAATTCTTTTTCTAAAAAAAAAAAATGATGCACTTAACTGCATGCTGATTGAACTACTTATGATTATCAAGACGTATAACTTCTTAGACGGTTAAAAACTCGACAATTAAATAGTAAAAATATGTCTGTATCACAGTACAGCATGAATAAATTATTTGACGATAAAAAGATCTAAAATCATTTCACACAATCATCTTTGGTAAGACATCGATAGCTGCCCAGCTGTTTTGCACTTAGTAACAATGGACTTTTTCATACACCCGAGTGTAAAATCTAGAGGAGTTCCGACAGAGTATTCGATGCAGTAGCAAAACAGGTGCCCTGCAGTTTCACTTAATTCAGCAGTAATAAAACCAGACAGGTTTATAAATTAGTGAGATACACCACGTGGTCTGTAGATTTTTGTTAATAAACTAAATAAATTCTCGGTATAAAAATAAGATCTGGCTATTAAAATTAGCCCGACCACCGGGCTGTCAACAGCAGTTTTGTACCCGTCCGCCTGAAAAACAGACCGTCTCGGGCGGTCGGGCGGGCTGTAATTTCCAACCCTGCTAGCATCTACCCATGAGATTTTGTCTAAACGTCTTAGTCCTTGCATACCTTCTGAGAGATAACAGTTAGGGAGTCGTTGTTTTAGATAAATTAATAAATTCAGTTGCTTCTGTAATTTTTGCAAGATCACAATACAGGTTCAACAGCATTTTGTTGGTTTGTTTACATGGAAGAATGGCTAAGTCCCAAAGAAATGACACTAAGCATGCCCTGCACACGCTTCTTTGACAATTAATTCTTGTCAATTTTTCAATAAATAAACAGTATTTATTATTTTTTTTCAAAGAACGAGGTCAAAAACTTCATTTAAAAACAAAGTTTTAAACTAAACTTTTAACCGTAGAATACGAATTTGTGGTCAAATGGCCAAAAATGTCCTATTTTAAATTTTTTTCAATCGCTCATGCTACATGTATCTAGTACATAAATAGTGAAGTTGCGTTCAGCGACACTACATTTTAGCGCGTTTTTCAAGGGACCGGTAAAGTAAAGTCATTCCTGCAGTTAATATAACCATGGCAGTCTGTTAACTTTAAAAACATTTATCAAGATAGAACACTTAAAGAGTGACCAACTTGTGATACAATGTATGTCACCCGATTCATTTATTCATTCAAATCTGTGTTTGAACCTGGGTGACCTCTAAAGTCTATTATTCTAGACAATGACTTTACATGAATACATTGCATATACACTGTACTCCTATAAGTTGCATCATTTTGTGGATAAAAAAAATAAATAGATGAGTGATACAGTTTAATTGTTTTACAGAATCCCAGACAGTAAAGAAAGTGATCGAAATAAATCCTTATTTACTGGGGACCATGGCCGGTGGGGCAGCTGACTGTGCCTACTGGGAAAGGGTACTGGCCAGACAGTGTCGGTAAGTTCAACAGATTCTGTTAGTTCATTGTGACTCCTTAATATTTCACAATGAAGATTCCTTATTAGCCAATGAATACTGTAATATGTAAATCACACCAACATACTACATGTAGTTTTAAAAAAATGTAGAAAAAGTATTGCTAGAAAATTGCATATATATTTCTAGAATATACGAGTTACGGAATAAGGAGAGAATATCAGTAGCCGCAGCATCCAAATTATTGGCTAATATTGTGTACAACTATAAAGGGATGGGGCTGTCTATGGTAAGATGGATTTTATTTGTAAATTTACTCGCATGCATCATATCAGACCCATTCATCTGCAGAAGGTGGACTTCAATGCTTATTATTTGAACAGCAATTCAGTTTCTTAATGCCTCTAATAGACATTCAGTTTAGACCTCTCTCTTTCTTTCCTTATGAAGTGTTTATTTTTTTTAATGTATTTTAAAGAAGCATTTTTACATTGTAGGGAACTATGATTTGTGGATGGGATAAAAGGGTAAGATTTTGTAAGATTTTCTTTCCTGCAATTGATTTTTGTCTAAAATTGATGCTAAAGTGATGTTTACCAAATGATCAGTCTTCACTTTTATATACAGCATGTATTAATTTTTGCAGTCTAAAATGAAAATGTCTGTCTAAGAGCTTTTTGTATTATGGTGCTCTTGCATAAAATCCTGACCATACTATGACTCAGAATTCATATGCCACATTGTTCAAATTAAAGGAACTAAAAAGAATCTGTGGAGAAATATCATTTCTTCACTCTCAGTAATATTCCAATGAAAATCTTTATTTAGCAAATGCAAGCAAAGATGCAAGCTGCTAAAAGATAAGTTGATTCTCATTTCAGGGACCTGGTCTTTACTATGTGGACAGTGATGGAGAAAGAATGTCAAACAATATATACTCGGTGGGTTCTGGGTCAGTTTATGCCTATGGTGTTTTGGACAGTGGATATCGTTATGACCTCTCAGTGGAGGAAGCTATTGACTTAGGGAGGAGGTCAATCTACCACGCCACCCACAGGGACGCATACAGTGGTGGAGTCGTCAACTGTAAGCACACACTCACTTTTGGAAAATCCTAATGATGTTTTAATACTTGGTTTCATTTTAGATAACCAAGTGTCCAGTTCACATCTACTCATCTCCCATTGGCTGACGTAGCTTAGTTTTATAGCTCACGCTTGAACGTTCGAGGGCATCCAATTAAATTGCATCACACACAAATGATTACTCAATTATTAATTTGCTGGATGGCTGTAATATATTTAATAAATCTATCAAGGAGGAGTTCAGGGATACATTTTTACTTGGCTATCTAATGTAACTTGGTTTACATGTTTTTTCCTTTAAATTTTAATCCTGCATTTATGACAAACAGCATTGCTGTAGTTTTACTTTATTTCCCTTAGAATGAACGGATTTCATCTGTCTTGAACTGTATCATATGAAGGAAATTTATATCTCCTATAGAATCATGTACATGTAATTTTATATTGCAGTGAAGCATATACTGTAGATGTACTTTTTTCCGCGTGGTATTAATTTACGCTATGTACGCGGTCACAAATTTTCCGCGGAAATTTGTCCAAGCGTACTTAATATAAATGTAAGGCATATAATGACAGTCTGAGAAATCCGCGTAATTTTCAACCCGCGGATTAAACAAAAATTGAGATTCCGCGGAATTATGATTCCGTGGAAAAAAAGTACGTCTGCAGTATATGAAAGAAACAGGATTGGAATAGAAACGGGATTGGAATTTATATATCTAATAAAATGATATGATTTTATTTTCCATCTTGTAGTGTACCATATGAAGGAGACAGGATGGGAGTTCATCTCTCAGACAGATGTGTTTGATCTCCATTATCAGTACCAGGCTGAGAAGAAGTAGAGACAATATGTGATTCTATAAATAAAAGTGCTACCTGAACATTGCATCACCTCTTGACTGAAATACCATACTTAAACTTTAATTATTTCATTAATAAATATATTCATTAAAACTTTTTTGACTGGATTTGTTGTTTCTAATACTAATAGCTTTGAATTTCCCTCAGAACTGATTTTAAGATTTTTAACTATAGAGATTGTTTTGTTTTATGATCTAATGGTTCAAGATCACTGGCAGAAAATGTGTATAGGGTAAATTATGTCCTTTCCATAACTTTCCATTGGAGTTCTTTCTTTATTCAAAGAGTACACATGATCATAGGAATTGTGTCTTTATGATTGTGCAAGTTCAAAGTCTGTAACAGAATGTTACAGGCGGAGAAAAATGTTGGCAAGACTGGGACTCAAACCCAGGACCTCCCGCATAACCGTGCAGGTGCTCTAACCACTGAACTAACGGTCGATGTACCCAATCCCCGTTACACTTTTCTCCCTTTTCTTGAGGTTTTCTATCCTGAAAACTTCACAGAGACTTCTATATCACCGTTTGGTTTTATGGTTGGGCGCCAAATGTAAAAGGCAGGGAAAAATGTCATTCAGACTGGGACTCAAACCCAGAACCTCCCGCTTACTGTGCAGTTGCTCTAACAACTAGGCTGACGTACACAATCCCATTACAAGAATAAAGTACAACACTGCCCTGGCCATATTTTTTAATGGATAAATATTGGAAACTCACTTTTTGCACAAGGATTTCTATGACATGCTGTATATTGTAGTTCATTCTTGACTTGTGTCATTTGGCAAGTACAAGGTCATAGGTACAAGTTTTAAAACAAGAGGCTCATGGGCCACATTGCTCACTTGAGTAACTTAGGCCATGCTGTACACTAAATTTCCCCCTTGTAATACCTATTGTGACCCCACCCTACCCCCAAGAGTCATAACCTACAATACCCAGGATGCTTCCACATAAATTTCAGCTTTTCTGGACCAGTGGTTCTTGAGAAGGAAGATTTTTCCTATAAACTTGGATTCCCTATTGTGGCTCTGCCCTACCCCTGAAAGTCATGATTTACACAAGTTAAAATCTACACTATCCCAGGATGCTTCCAAGTAAATTTCAGGTTTCCTGGCCAAGTGGTTCTTCTAAAGAGAAGAACCCCAACCTATTTTTATCTTTTCTTGATTATCTCCCCTTGTAAGGAGACTTGGCCCTTTATTTTAATAATTTAAACTACCCGTCACCCATGGATGCTTTGTTCCAAATTTGGTTAAAACTTGCCCAGTGGTTCTTGAGAAGAAGTTGAAAATGCAAAAAGGTTACAGACAGATGGACAAATGGAAAATTGGTGATCAGAAAAGCTCACTTGAGCTTTCAGCTCAGGTGAGCTAACAATGTCTATGGTTCAATATTTCCTCTGAGTAAAATATTAAATTCAGCAATTACAAGAAAATTACTCTTAGTAAATGTCTGCCACTGATGCACCATTCTATCCACTTTCATAAGAAAACTAGAGGTACTGTGCGCTTTGAGCTCACTAAATGATACCCCCTGCCTCCCGTTATAATTGCCAAGCCCATGTTCTGCCCTGGTAGACCCAAAATTATTGTAAAATAGTAGTAATGCACAATGGCATTAGCTCCCAGGGTAAAACATGAACCTTGCCATAATAATCATATGGGAGGCAGGGTTATCATTTAGTGAGCTCAGTGCTCACAGTAGTTCTAGTTTAATCTTAGATTTACTACATTTTTCTTTACACATAGTTTCTAAGAAGGAATTTAAATTTTAATGCACTCAAAGAAATTATAGCATCCAAGCATTTATTCACATGTATGATAAAAATAACAATTTTCTAGAAAGTTCAACCAAAATGTCCCTTCATCATCGCTGTGGGAATATTTTATTTCCTGATCGAGCTATTGGTATGATTTCCTGGCGGAGCTCTAGAGGAAGGTATTTTTCTACAAGGTGGGTCAGTGATGTGGTCTTGGTGATAAATTTCTGCCTAAAATTCAAAAAAGGAAAAAAAACCAATTGCTTTGTAAATTACAATTTTCACTATTTAAAGAACTTGAAATGCCCTTTGAAATACATTATCAAAGATATGGAGATTTATTAAGCAAGGAAAAGACTTAAATTTTATGCATCAAGTTCAAGTAGAGGTTTTATATAAATTGTTTTTTTAAATTTATATTATTTTATACAGGAATAAATTGGAATCTTTCAGAGCACTTGTATACTGTAGATCACTTAATTTTCGCGACACCTTATTTTCGCGAGATAGTAATTGAATCTTGATTAGCGAGACAAAATTTTCACGAATTGTGGTTATTGCTCTATATCATCTTAAGGAATACTATTATATGCGAGAATCAAATTTTCATGAGCACACTGTCTCGCGTAATTACGCGAAAATAAAGTTCTCGCGAATAAAAAGTGATTTACAGTAATCTATGAAATTCTTTTTCTCCATATATTGAGAAACTTGTTTTTAGAATGCTTAAAGCTATGCATATAGAATCATTTTACATATGCTGCAAAAAAGTAAACTCTGAAGTACAAACCTTTTAAGAAGCAGTTCAACATCTCTCTCATCAATGGTTCTTCTTCCTGCATGATGAGCAAATGCTTGGTAGATCATTGTAAAATTGTAATGCACAATGGCATTTCTTCAGTTCTGAACCTTGCCATAAAAAAATCTTTTCTGTAGTGTAATTCACAATGGTCCTAGTTTCATCTTGAATTTTGTATTTTTTCTTTACACAAAGTATATTGAAAGTAACAAGAAGGAATTGAAAATCAATGAACAAATAATATTAAATTGAACTTTGAAATTCAAACATGTATGATCCCAAATATGATGGATATCTAGAAATTTCAACCTTTTGCATTCCTCATCGTATAATTAATTTTTTTCCAGATCCTATTGGTTCAAGTTCACAAGTCAAGTGTTGACAATAGTTTTATTTTACGGAAAGTTCTATCATTTAGAGGAATGTATTTTCATACAAGGTGGGTCAGTAGATTTGGTCTTGGAAAGTTTATGAAATGTTAAAATTTTTCATTAAAAAACAAAATGGAAATTTTAACAAGCTCAGGCAGTGTGTCTTTGTAAATTACCCTATTTAAATCTTGCAAAAATGACTGAAAGTCCTTAATGGTAGATGCTGTAGATCACTAAACCTTCACTCTTGGTTTCTTCAGAGTTTGTCCTTCACTAGGTTATAAGCAGAGAAGTAATTTTCGAAATAGATATATAACCATGATGATCATGCTTTAATTATTACAAGAGGCTCATTGGGCCACATCGCTCACCCGAGCATTGTGGCTAGGAAAAAGATTTAGTAATTGGTTTACTATTAAAAAGTTTGAGGTTTTATATAAATTGTTTTTTTAAATTTATATTACCCCCGGGAATCATGAATCTTTCAGAACTTGTATAATCTTGAATCTACAATACCTGAGAAACTTGTTTATAAATGCTTAAATTATGCATATAGAATCATTTTACATATTGCAAAAAAAGAATTTTCCTATATATTTCTATATAAAACTGAAGGGGGGCCATTGTGGCCCCGTCCTCCCCCAGGGGGATTTGAACAAACTTGAAGTACATTACCTGGGGATGCTTATTTTATAACATATGAGCAATTTTGGCTTTGCTAAATTTTGAATGTAAAAAATAAACTTGAAAATTTCTACTTATATTTCTATATAAAACAATGGAAACACCACATGTGGCCCCGCGTTACCCCCGGGGGTCATGATTTGAAGAAAGGAGGAATTACAACCAATGAATGCGTTCACATAAAAAAATTATGGAACTGTTTTGAAGAAAGTAAAAGTCAAATTTTAAAAAACTTTCCTATATATTTCTATAAAACTTTGAAAAATAAGAGCGGAAAAATGGCCCCGGATAGCGGATTTCCGCTTTAAAGCTGAAAAAAATCATGTCTGGAAAAAGTAAACTCTGAAGTACAAACCTTTTAAATAGTAGTTCAACATCTCTCTCATTGGCTGTTCTGCATGATGAGCAAATGAAGATCATTTTCAAAATATTCTTCCTATATATTTTATAAAATAATCTTTTCGGCCAGTGTAATTCATCAATTTCCCTGGGGGTCATGATTTGAATTTTGAATTCTTTTGGACCCTACATATAAATATGAAGCAATTAGCTTGAAAATCAAGAACAAATTATTAAATTGAACTTTGAAATCTAAACACTATATAAAATTTGGATATCTAGAAATTTTTACCTTTTGCATTCCTCAGTATAATTAATTTTTTTTCAGTCTCATTGAATTCAAGTTCACAAGTGTTGACTATTCATTTAGAGGTAAATGTGAATTTCATCAATGATCAATAGTTTTATTTTACGGAAAGTTTATGAAATGTTAAAATTCTTCATTAAAAAACAAAATGGTTTCCATACATTTTAACAAGCTCAGGCAGTGTGTCTTTATCCACCCTCATCTTGCAAAAATGACTGAAAGTCTGTTTAATGGTAGATGCTGGGAGAGTACTGGACTGAACCTTCACTCTTGGTTTCTTCAGAGTTTGTGACCTTCAGTAGGTTACAATGAACAGAGAAGTCAGTTGTCAATAGATTATACCATGAAGATCATGCTTTAATTATTAAAACTGATTTTTCTACATGAGCTATATGTCTCTTGTGATCTTTGCACAATTACCATGTTTTAATTAAAGCAGTTTCATCATTAAGGGACACTTACTTGACTGGAGGTTTTTTCTTCAGAGTTTGTGAGATGGGGGAGTCGGCGGGGGTGTCAGATGGGGTGGGGACATGAGGTCTGGCTGGGCCCAGGTGAGGGGTTTTAAGTCGGAATAACTCTGTTCTGTCAAAGTCCTAAATAACAGAATTTAAGTTAAAATTCAGTCATGTAGAAAAAATGCAAAGCTTGGGTTTCTTCACTCGAGTGTTCAGTTGTTTTGTATAGAGCAAAGCCAAAATAATTTTTTTTTTGGCTTACATCTTGAAAATCTGTTCTTCCCTGACTCTCAATCATGGAAACATCTGAAATGACAATTTTATCTTTTTAACATAGAAACTCTCATACATGAACCAAATTCTTTTTGTAAAAGTAAATAAACATCAGCTTACTCAACAGCATTATAACTGTGTGTACATATAGTGCTACTATGCTTTTAATGCTTAATGCTTACCTGGTAAGTTTTCATCTCCAGTCATTGAGATGTGATGAGTTCTTGATACAGGACTGGAATGTCTTGGTCCCAGTGCTGTACGCTCAAACACGGGAGTTATCAATGTCTCCTTACTAGGTGTATCATGTATCAGGCTCGCACTGTTTCTTGGTTGTTGCATGGCTAATGGTGATCTCTCAGTAATGTTTTTCGCTGGAGATGCAGTTGGCCTCAGACTCCTTCTACCTGACTGTTGTTTCAGTGTTGTATTTTTTCTTGATGGACTTTCAATCTGAGATGGGCTTTCAGTCCTAGATTGATTGATTTTCTTACTTGCTGACATTTTGACCCTCTGAAAGTCTGCCGACCGTAGACTTCTGTTTGGAGTTCTGTTTTGAAGATTCTGGTTACTGCTTTTATCTGGTCTTCTCACCAAACTTTCTTCCTGCCTACTTCTTGTTAACATTGTAGACGAAGGTGCTTCATTTAGACTGGTGGTTTTTCTTGGTGTCTCCATTAAGCCCTCATTCTCATCAGAAACTTCTGATCTGTTTCTTTCTCTTGAAGAAACATTGGCACACAAAGCATTTTCTTCATTCAAATCCTGGGTGTTTGGTCCCAAAGACATACCAGTATTCTCTGTATGCAATCCAGAATGTTCTGCTCCTTCTAAAAATATCCACAAATCATCATTTACAAAACATGTATTAAAGATACTAGTCTACAGATCTTTCAATAATGATGCAGCAAGTGAGAGACATGTAACATGTAAACCTACCATTACCAGTTTCAGTTTGCCACCTGCTAGGAGTTCCCGTCAGGTTCCTTGTTTTGGAGGGTGAAGTAGCCATGGCTGAACTGCGACGTATCCTCCTTGGTGTGGACTGCAGAGTGGGAGATCCCTCCTCCGACAAATCCTGCTGTCCTCCAGTTGACTGTGATGTCATCTGAGCAACAGGTGTATTTTGTTTCCTTGGTGATGCTGTTCTGAGCGAGGATCTTAGAGTGGGGGATTCTACCTGTTTCCCAGCAGAAGACTGATGCCTAGAGGAGGATCTAGGAGGAGGAGATGCCAGCAATGTGCCACTTTTATTTTGCATGGGTGATGTAATTGAAGCCTCCTGAACTGAAAAATGAAACCGACTTCTTTCCCTCTTGGTTCTCATTTTGTTAGATATTCGAGAATCATTGGTAGATAGCTCCTGACTTAGTGCAGTGGTTTCTATCTGATTTGCTATTCTTGGTGATTTTCTTCTTGGTATTCCTGACCCCAGGCTGTTCTCCTGTGTAACCTTGCTCTGATTGCTTGATGGAGAGTCTGTATAGGATTTAGATAATTCTGTAACTAAAAATAGTTTCAATGTATTAATAATGTCTTTCCATATATTGAGGCATCTGTATCATTATCAAAGATTAGACATTTTATACAAAGCATTCTTTAAATTTTTCTCTCTTTTTTTCTTGTACCTGAGTGTTGAAAATGGAATCTCTTTACATGTATGCACATTCCAAAGTTAAGATATTAAGAATTTTTAACACCATTTTTTGACTCCCTTTTCTTCCACATAGACCTTGTTTTTACTGGTGTGCTTTCAATCATCTCACTGTAATGAAGTACAACTGTATATTCAAGTCATATAAACAGGATTAGTTTTTGAAAATAAAAAAGTAAATGATTATATAATTCATAGAATTTCAATAAAATGGGCCTTTTTTTTAATGTTCAGTTAAATTAATATTTCAAATTATATTGTTACTTTAAGCCACATAAAACAAAATGACAGGAATTCAAAAGAAGTATAGTTTTGAACATTATGGAACCAATATATAATTAAATTCGTTCTCGTTTTCATCAGATAATAAATCACATTGAATCAGCTTTGATTTCTCTGTACCTCAAAGAGATAAGGGAAGCAAGACCAACCATGGGTTTCCATTAAATATACTTATAAAATTAATTTTATAATTTTTATTAATTAATATTTAATTTTTTTTAAAAAGCATTTTACATAGTTGATAAAACGTAACTCCATAAAGGAATAATTACTGTGTGATGTCTTCATCCTGCTGGTGTAGTCGGATTTCAGTGGAAGGTAAGGATCGACTAAGCCTGCTATCGGCCTCTGGTGTTCTTGTCAAACGTTTGCACTTCCTACTGGGACGCTCTGTCTCATTTGTTTGTGCAGCATCCATGAATCCTTGGATAACAGTCCTTGGGGTAATTTCCTCCATTTTTGTCTAGAGAAAATAGAATAGAATAGAATTTATTACCAATCAGGGCCCATTGGGCATAAACATATAACATATATAATTACATATAAACATAATAGAGTAATAGACAGATTACAACATATGGTGAAGAGCAATTCTTCTATTAAGAATATACTGATATATATGTTGGTGGCATTTTTAAGTTTGTCTAGAGAAAATATTTGAAGATATTCAGAGAAAGCAAGTACCAGTACTTACTGCCATACATTGATCTTGAGCAATGGTTTCCAAATACAAAAATCCTCAAACACTTATGACTACCTTATGATTTATAATCTATATAAGGTCCATACTTATTCCAAATTTTTTGCTACCTGTACCTGCTATATAAACCCTGGAGCACTGCAAACGTGCAATGATCATATGCATATGTACCGTATTTATCAGATTATCAAAGATCCATCTCTTCCAGCGTCTAAAAAGTCTTGCATAGATATTTTCTTTTTTGTTCCAATTTTTTTTTTTGTTTTAAAAAATGATACCTTAATCTCGGTGGAGATTCTGTTGGTTAGATATTTGGTCAAACGCCCTGTGGGCATCTGACCAAATATCTATAGCCCAACAGAATGTGGGCGTCTGACCAAATATCTAACCAAACAGAATCTCCACCGAGTTTAATGATGCCTATACATTAATTTGGTTATTGTAAAGTTGAAAAGTGCATCCTGACAATCATGCACTTATGATAAACCAGTATATCAATGATGCAATGTATCCAACATATAAATATCTGTCCCACCTGTTTGTTTATGCACGAACATAACTCCCCTCCTTAACTTAAGAGCGCACCAAGGGAGATAATCTTAAAAGTGCATATTCTTTGAGTATATTATGCAGCTGCAGACAGAGCCAGTTGGAAACCTACTCAGGCTACTGTAAATAGTCGCCTCAAGCACATGATGGCGCAGAGAGGATTGAATGACTGAATGTTTGTGTGTAATTTAGAAGCTCAAATTAAGAGTGTACATTTATATCAAGAGATTGTTCTAGTTATACTTTGTAGAGCTCTTTAACTGATCATCAGAGCAAAATAATCACAGACAAAAAATTAATTATAAAGTTGAGCTGACAAAACACACATCATGCAAGATATTGCAAATATACGTTTAAATTTTGCTTTAAGAGTACATTTTAAGGTACCATAAATACCACAAGAATCCCTTCTATAGTTATTTAACAAAGAAATTTCGTCCAAAAGCAGATTCGTGGGGATTTTACCTGAAAAGTAAACTACAATTTTGCAAGTCTTTAAAATATCCCGCTTGTTTATAAATATTACGTCATATCCGTGAGCGCTCTTCTTTTTGTAAGTCATACGATTGCTAGTCGTGTCTATAATAACAAATTCTCAGGTTTCGAAATCCCTCATATAAAATTAAACTTCATCAGAAGAAAATGATTATTGTTTAAGTGCCTAATATTTGCCCCTAGAGTTCTGCAAATTAAAATATGTGTACAATCCCGAATAGTTTTTTGGACGAGCTAAACTAAAATTTTCTGCGAAACTGTTTTGTTTAAAAATGGCGGTTTACGAAGTGTTTGCACATCCCGAACTTCGTCGATACAAAACTCATATATGCACCAAAGCTACGCTGTTGACGTTTGTTGTTTTGTTTCTTGTGTTCATACCACCGCTTTTTGTTGTTTACAGGAGTTATGGTAAGAATATAGCAAAAAATTTCGACTATGAACAAGATGTTTTGTACTGAAGAAAGACATGCATGAACATGATGTTCATCAGATATTGTACAACATTAACACTAGTACTAGCCATTTCAAATAACTGCAGCTGAATACTTAAAATACCTTTACCTATCTGAATGCAATTTTTGATTATTTCTTTGCATTTATATCATTTTACAGTCAAAATGAACTAAATGACCTTACATCAGGAAGAATGTTCATCAAGAAGTTTTTAGTCAGTTTCATTAAAAAAATCCAGCCAGTCCAAAATACATTGTTCTAATATGTTGCAAATGTGAATGTTAAGGAGAGCGCAGATCTTTCAATTTTAATTTAGATCTGTCCCTTCAAACCACACATGCATGACATTTAAAATACAATGTAGGGTAAGTCGGGGTAATTTCGACTACGGTTCAGTTTCGACCACACAAACACAACACTGCATCATGATTCACGGTATTGTTGAGACAAGTTTCTTTAATTCGGTTTTAAAGTAAACTATTCCTAAAATTGGATTTCCTAGTATAATTTCTCATTTAAAAAATGGTTTGGTCAGAGGTATAACTACATGTTTTACTACTTTTTATCCCTCCAGTTTGACACTCGGAAGTCCGTCTTCAGTGCACTTGATGTGATCAACGAAAAACAAGAGAGATAACTCGTACGACCTCTTTTTGAGTTTGACAATAATCAACATTATAACAGTTTGAATTAAATTGAAATTATTTAATTAGTTTCTTGGAGTGTAATAAGTAGCTGAATTTCACATTTTTAGCTTGGATTTTTCTCAAAAAGAACAAGAAACGTCCGTTTGAATTTGGTCGAAATTACCCCTACTGTTTTTAAGGACGCGGGGTAATTTCGACCAATGACGTAATAAGGGGAAATATGTGTAAGTTATGTTTAACAGCTGTACTATTCAATGCTGATTTAAATTTCTAAAATAAAATTGAATATTATACTGTATGATACACAAAATTCTTTAAATTTTGAAAGAAAATAATATACGATTAAAAAATATATGCATGCATTGCGATCTACAATGTATCCCTATATTGTCTGAGCACATGGAGCACTGCGGTGAGGGTGCATTCTCTGATCGATGTAGAGAACTTTACACATGGCGATAGCAATCAGAACGATTTCAAAACCCAAATTAATAAATTAAAATATGCAGAGAGAATTAAATATGATTACAGAATGAAGTTTTTTTATTTTTTTTTTTTTATTATTGCGAAATTATTTGTTCGACAGACAAGATTATGAGGATATCGGAAACCAAGAACCGGTAGTTTAAGAACGTACATATATCACGCAGTCCACATACACAAATCCAAGTACATTAATATATGTAACAAGCAAGCTGTTCGAATAACACACATAAAGAACTGCAACAATATTGAAAGAAAAAATAATTTTTAAAAATAATTAATTTGTTTGAGTTTGTTATTTTTTATTTTTTTTTTCCATCACGGGGGGGGGATGGTCAGAGGAATTTGCTTTTGCACACTTCTTTCATATGATTTGATAGAATTTCTCAGGATTTTAAACAAATAACAAAACATATTTTTATTCATTTGCATTTCAAATAAATTCGTATATGCTTAAAAGCGTTCAAACCTAAGATACTTTGATTCTGTTGAGCCTCGGAAAAGACGATTTGAAATGAAGTACAGTACGGACTGGACAGTTTAAAAATCTTAAGAAGGAAACTATCTACGGAATAAGAGAAATTTTGTTTCCATAACTACCACATTACAAAATATCATCGTATTAGATTTGGCGAATTAAGATGCAGAATAATAAATAAGAATGAAGATGTCAAAGGTTGCAATGAAAAACTTATCAGTGGTAATCCAACTCATTTCTTTACTAAATCAACAAACATACATGTAAGTGTAATACTGTTAATAGATCTAGGCCTAATTAATTTATTTTTAATCTTTTTTGACAGACACTTATATTTCCTATAACAGACAGTTTATTTTCTTAGAACATAAATTTTGAATAAAATGCGATAGTTAGAGTTTAATTTCATTGTAAGAGTTATCTTTCCTGTTGATGTTTGTTGTGGTCGAAATTACCCTGAGGCTGGTCGAAATTAACCCAGGCATCATGGTTACTAATTTTTGAACCAATTTATTATTTTTTAACGTATTTTTAGTCGTAAAGCATAAATTTTGAAGAAAAAAATCAATCTTCTTTACTTCGAATCTATTTTGAACTTGTGCATTTGAAAACGGTCAAGTTTTGCGGATTGAAAGCCATATGTCAGCATAAGTGGTCGAAATTACCCCAGTTTACCCTATATACTATTATTTTCACATGATGTATGCTGCATTACAATATCAAAGTCTGAAAACTACAATTTTTAAGAAAATAATATTTCATCTTCCATTTCTCTTTCTCCTCAATATCTAAATTTAACATTTTGACAATTGGAATGACTGAAACAGTGATATGAAATGAAAAATAAAATTATTAGTATCGATGATATAAAAAGATTGATTAATAACAAATTCAGTTGATTTTTATAGCAATTGTCTATTTCTTTTGAAAAGGATTTTGGAAGAAGGAAGAATATTACAGGGAGGTTCCTACTGTTAATTTTAAGAAGCAACTGCTTGTGATTTTGGAACTGGAACAGGAGGGTAGCTTTATCACATACAGTACATACCAAAGATACAACCAACTGCAGCAACAGAATTTAAGAGTGCCTCTCATCCAGGTAATATAATGTCACTGTCAGAGTCTGTACTTATAGAACTGGTATATGTTTAGAATCAAAACCAATGATTCAATAGGATTTACAGATATTTTATTGTTAAATTTTATTATGCCAGACACATTAAATTCGATTTATTTAGGCAGATTGGCAAAATGTGTTCAATAAATTACTTTGCATAAATTCTTTTATTAAAGGTCGTAAAGGCCATATGGTTTACATTTTATATACTAAGATACTTTCATTTAGTCAAGAGAGCCAGATGAGAATGGTGATGGGAAAGCAGATGGACTGGAATTTAAGTTGGAAATGCCACTTCAAGACTCAGAGAAAGTGATTGGTGTAAAACTTCTCCTCTTCTTTGAGTATGCTTTGCATGTAAGTACATTATTTTTTTAGTTGGAACTTGAAAGTCTATTTAAAATTTACTGTTATATTACGATCTCATTCATGATAATTACTTTTGACTGACTCACACTCATTTTTTTTTTTATTGTTTACCAGAGATTTTCCTCATTCACTATGGAGTCCTTAGCCTATATTAACCATGACTCACCCAAAGCAGGAGCCCGGCTTGATGTTTATGGGGAACTCAATATAAGGCAGAAACAGCCACTAGGACACAGGGGTTCAGATACAAGATTCAGTGTAAATAGTCATTATCGTTTCTGTTGTAAAACTATAATTAATGTTTTTAGAAAAAAAAATTATCTGAAAAAAAAGAAAATTAATTTCAGTACACCTTGTTTGCATGAATAATATTTAAAAAAAAAAAAAAAAAAAAAGCAAATGCCTGTCAAGTGTCAAGGATGATTTTTTTTTTTCATTTTTGTCTTCTTTACTCAGTAAATTCAAAACAAAGTAATTTTTAAAAAATGAAGCATTATTGGTAAAGAGGAATGTGATTTTTATTCATTGAAGAGAAACACCTTTTCACAGTGGGGAGAGAAATGATAGAATGAGCAAAAATAAATCTTCCTTATCAAGGAGACTTTATATCATAATCTTTTACTCATCATATCCAAAAAATATTAAATTTTTTTCCAGGGTTCGATAATAGATACAACTAGTGTTTATGCTGAAACATATGATTTGACAGATATCTTTAAAAAGTATACAGAGAGAAATGGTAAGAAATGTTCAAATACTTCGTTGATGGTCCATTTTATAATTACTTAAATCTGGCACAAACTTTATTACAAGTTCCAAGTATGATCCTGATTTCTACCTTTACAGTGACAACACAACTAAATGCCCCCTACTCTGTATGGAAGAGTGGCCGAGGAGCAGGGCAGCCATTTGTTATCAACAGCAACATAACTTATACAGAACAAATGATATTGTATCCTTTCTCAAATTGTACATCAGTATTACTGGTGTTTCATATACAACAGAATATCAATAATGAATACAAGTTCACACCTAGATTTACATACTTGAAGCACATGATTCTTGGTACATCAAAATAAATAAATGAATGGCATGTTCATAGGTACATGTACTTCTTAACTAATGAATAAATTGAAAACTATTTATAGTATCTTGACCTTGACCCCTGACAGATATTACCCAGGATTCTGGTACATGATCAAGTGGGGCTGGGTGCAGTATGTATCAGTGCTTCTTATTTTCCTGTATGTATTTGACAGAATCAAGATCTTCATTTTCCAGAATCAGTTAGTAACTACAATGGTGGAAAAACCATGGAAACGGGAAAAGATGTCATGATGTATCCAGGACTAGTTATACCAGATTGTAGGGATTAAAATAGGACATGTAGGTGAATCTGTGGCAGCTTGTTGACAGCTGGGTATGGGGACTTCCAGGTGTGAAGAGATGTTTGTATGACGTATAATGGTGTATTGGATGCATACGAGGTGACACAAGTGAATATGAAAAGGCTGGAAAAAATGTCATATTCCTTGTGATGTATTGGTTGTAATGAAGCTAGGTTATGTGTAAAAGAGTGAATGCTTTAGATAGGTACAGAAATTAAACCTGATGAAAGAAAGTAACACTTAGAGATACTTGTGTTGAAAATTTTAAGTATTTGTTCTTTTTTGATCAGAATGTTCATTTAAATCATGTTCCCACTGCATTTTATAAAATGACATAAGTAATGAATGATGTTTATGGAATTGTATGGAATATGACAGAGTGTGATCATATTTTTTTATTTAAATACTTTTTATAAATACTTTAATCCCATATTTTTCAGGGAGTCGTAATTCTATGGAATAACAATTTCTGTTCATTCTAAAGATAACCATATATTTTAAATGTATTTTAATTATGCTGGGACAAATTCCCATGAAGAATTGTGATACATAATTGTATACAGTGTAAGTGGGAAAGTAGTACTTTTACAGAATGAAAGTAAAATAGAAGAATAAGTATTTATTTCTTTAATCATTTTGAATGTCAAGTATCAAATAAAGTATTTATAAATTTTATCACAAGATTTTGCTTTATTTTAGAGGAATTCAATACATATTAATTAATTGATATTATCACCGAATGATATTGTCATCCTTAATTGTGAAATAGAATAAATATGAGATCTGCTGTTATGTTTACAAATTTAAGTTTCCATTACCAGTACCGTTATATTAGGTCACCTTTTTTTTACTCAAGTGACCCATTCTATATGTGTTTTCGTTGGTCCTTGTGTGTTGTACATTTGATCATTTTCCACATCTTCTCTGGAACCACTGAACCAATTTTGGCATGTACATGTAGCATCTATGATTGAATGAAAGTAAAAATTATGAAATTCATGGCCCCTGCCCCCTTGTGTGTGAGGCATGGGGCTTAAAACCATAAAAGATTATGCAATCTTTAAAAACCTTCTTTACTCCTGGACATCAAGCAGTCAAAATGCCAGAGAGAAAGTAAAGAATTTTGTTTTGTTAATACAATTAAGAACATATAATCCCAAACCTGTCGTGTTTGTAGTACAAGCTTATATCTGATAAAATACACTTCAATTTTCTTTGCTGATTTACACTAAATGGTCAACGCAGCTGTATATATAGTCAGACGCGGCTAATGTCTTAAAAGGATCGGGAGAATTTCTGAAAAAAACTGAATATATTCTACATTAATTACTATTAAAGAACGTTTTTGTTATTTGAACACAAAATAAAGGTTGATTAAATGAATCAAATATTAGTGCAACGAATTTTTTTATACAATGATGTCTTAGCTTTAGATGGCGCTATATAGCTAAAAATGCAGTACGTTACTGCCGTAGCTATCTTGCTGCATTTCTGTTGAAAAAAGGGATGTTAATTAATCAAGACATGTCTGGATAAACTCAAAAACAAGCCATGTTCATTTCAATGTTGTTTTTGTTTTTGTTTTTTTATTGTTTTTCAGTCCTTAGGGATATCTCACCCCCGATATTCTAGACATCTTACTCACATTGTCATGGTTGGAATAAAACTTACTTAAATTAAATCATAAGTCGGACTTACACAAACTATAGTTATACCTATCTTCATTTTATCTATTTATTTTATATACGCCAGACCCTCTTTAAAATCTACCAACCATCTGACTAAAAAAATTACATTCCAGGACACGATAATTTTTTTTATTCCTCGCATCCCGTCAAAAAGTATATTGAAATTTTTTGAAAGAAAAAGTTTTCACACCTACATGCCGACCTTATAATTTTACCTTGAGTAAGAGGACAAGTAAACAATATTTAAAGATGTCCCGACCCTCTTTTGTTACCCCCCAATCCAAGAAGATCTGGAATAGTCTATTAATTACTGATTTGAGAAACTGTGGTCTTGTCGCTCTTGATCAGATTTATTTTGAAAGATTTTAAAAATTATTTAAATTTCTTCTCGGAAAATGTAATTAAATTTTCTTCAATCTTATAAATAAGAGGAATCGTAGAAAAAGGATGGAAACCCCAATATTATTTTTAAAAAAAAACAGGAGTGGCCATGGTTTGCAATGGAGCTCTGTAAAAAGAGTATTTGAGTATCTGATAAAAGTTTATTTAGTGCTAAACGAGCAAATTCAAAAATTGTGGTCCCCCGCTTTCGGTGTCTTTGTGGGTAAGATGTCTTTTTTTTTTTAGGACATATTGTGTCAAATATGATTGCCCTTTCATATGACATTTAAAAATTATCACCAAAGTTGATTCTTTGACAAAATAAGGTCAAGCGTAAAGGTCAATGGGCCAGAAATCATAGCATGCTCGGAAATATCTTGTCACAGGTAATGCATATGTCAGAAAATATGAAAGCCCTATCTTTTATCGATCAAAAGTTATAAGAACAAGATTCTCCCGTATGGCAACATAGCGAAGTAAAGATTAAACTTTTCTTAAATGCCAAATTCGTACCCCAAGTAGGTTCTTCTCGCAAGAAATACGATTGTGAAATATGAAAGCCCTAGCACCACTTGTTCAAAAGTTATGGCCAAGAATAAGTTTTTGAAAGGTACATGTAGGTCAAACTCTATGGTCAATGGGTCAAAGTTGTTGGTTTCTTAAGAAGGGTCTTGTCAAAGTATTACATATGTGAAGTATGAAAGCCCTAACCCTTCAAAAGTTATGATCAAGACTGAAGTTTTTAAAAAGTAAGAAAAACTCCAAGGTCAAGGTCAGAGGGTCAAAGTTCTTGATATTCAATGAAAGGTTTTGTCTCAAGGATTAAATATGTGAAGTATGAAAGCCCTAGGACTTACCCTTTAAAAGTTATGGTCAAGGTTTGTTTTTCTACAGAAGGTCAAGGTCAAAGGTCAAAGTTCTTGATATCTAATGAAAGAGCTTCTCAAAAGAATTACATTGTATATATGTGAGGCATGAAAGCCCTTACTGTACAAAGATTATGGCTAAGGTTAATGTTTTTTCATAAGTAAGGAAATCTCTTACGTCAAGGTCAAAAGGTCAAAGTTGATGGTATTCAAAACTTGCCACAAAGAATACCTATGTGAAACATGAAAGTCCTAGTATCTAACATTCAAAAGGTATGGCCAGAGTAAACGTTTATAATTTTTGTGTAAAAGTGGTTCAAACTCTAAGGTCAAGGGCAAAAGATCAAATTTGGTAGTGCCCAAAGAAAGATCTTGTCACAAGGAATACACCTGTGAAATATGAAAGTCATAGCTCTACTAAATCAAAAGTTATGGGCAAAAATTAAGATGTTCAAATAAGCAAATTAAAATTCAAAGAACTGTGGTCCCCTGCTTTCGTTGTCTTAGTGGGTGGAATGTCATTATTTATTTCTGTCATATTGTGTCAAAAAAGAACGCCCTATCATATGCCATTCAAAAGAAATTACCGAGGTAATTATTTTTTGAAAATTAGGTCATACATGAAGGTTAAGGTCAAGCAGAGGACAATAACTATAAGGTAGAATCGCCTTGCCTCACACCCAAGTTGATTAAATCTTTTTAAAACCTTGCATTTCAGTAGGTGCTTTCAAAGAAAGATCATTTGAAATAGATATTTTCTCTTATAAGGCTAGAATAAAATTTCAGATTCGTTGAAAAAAAATTCTTAAACAGCTTTGACCTACATTCTTTTTACGAAATAGTTTGGCTAAACAAGTGTATTGTGCAATTTTCGAAGCTTGGCAAGATAAGTGATTGGAACCAATTTAATTCAAGTCCTTGTAAAGAAATTTTTAAAATCATTTAAATGTTGTAAGTATCAGGTGGAAAAGACTAATTTTTGAAAATAAGGTAAGAAGAATTTTAAAAATTGGAATGCTGAAAAAATGCCCTTTAGCTAAAAAATCAGTATTTCATTTTCATGAATTACAAATTAAAAATTTTGTTCCTCTGCGCTTTGTTGATGATGGTGAGATATACATTGAAGTTGTCAGGATACATGTAATTTGCTTTAATTTTGAAATGTATGAAAAGGAATTTTAGGAAAAAATAACATATCTTGAGATAGATATATAATTTTTAAGCAAAAGATGGGCATGAAAAAGTCCATAGAACTGAAAGATATTTAGAACTGTGAAAGGTATGAAAGGGCTTAACAGGTAAATATTGTATTGAACAGGTTATCACGTCAAACAACGTCCGTTTATGATATTTTAATAAAAATTTTATTTTCTTTTTAGTAAATGACCCTAATATCTCACATACCAATTAACAAAGGATAAAAAAGTTAATTAATTAGACATATGTCATTCTTTAAAGTATAAAATTAATTTTCTTTAAATAATGAGTACGCCAACTTTTCTAACAGTCCTTTATTTCAGTGGGCGCTTTAAAACATAAAACAATTGAATATGTTTTCCAAAATCACTTTAATTTTTCATGTGAATTGTGCAACTTTGAATGTCAAACTAAGTCGTTACGGTATTGAGTTTGAGTCCATAGCAAGATTTTTTATAATTATAAAACATACAAATATTATTTTAACAAGTAGAAAAAGACGGCTAACTCTATACAAAGTAAGAAGGTTTTTTTAAGCATTGAATTCATATTTTTGGATGTCTTCGGTCCTATAACACACCTGGCCGTGCCGACAAATTGAATACCGCGCGTTAGCGCGGTATGATAATTTGTCGGCACGGCCAGGTGTGTTATAGGACCGAAGACATCCAAAAATATGAATTCAATGCTTATATTTACATTCTCTAAGTTTTGTTCTTCATAATTGCTTATTTCGTTAATCTTTAATGTGAATTTAGCGCCTTTCAAAACTGCCGTGGTTAATAGATGTAAGAGCCGTTTGTGACGTCAAATGACGTAAAACGACGTTGCAAAGTTAACTTACGCAAACAAACATTGCGAGGAAAAAAGTGACAAATTAATTCTTAACGCACGTTACGTTAATTTTTAGGTTAATTTTTCAGGGTTATAGTTTTTCATTAAATTGAAGTAAAATATTTTACATTTTGGTGTTCCTAGAGTATTGAAATTGCATATAGTTCCTACTATGTATTCTAACGCGCGGTGACAAGGTTTCGCGTGTGTTATAGTAATTTGAACGTCGTGGATTTCTAATGAATTTCATAAGGAAAATCACACTGAATGTAAATATAAAAAAATGAATACTAGAAAAAAATACATGTACTTCTTTGTTGAAATAAAAAATAAAATTCCATGAATAATTAGGTTCATCTGAACTTCGTTTGTGATGATGTTTGGCTATTAGAAACCCCAAGCATCCATGTAATTGATATAAACATAAAATAAAAGATGCATGTTTGCATCGTGTAATTAAATTTATGCTTTGTAAGGCACAATAGATTTTGTTCAGTGGTATAGGCTGAGTTGCTGGTAATAAGAAATGGGTACTCCATGTTGTTTTATTGACGCACGGAGGGAGGTACTGACGGACACACTGTGTTACGATGAACGACAGCTTGCAGACACGTTACTTCTGAGAACATATTGTGTACAAAGTGAAAAGTATTATTTCGAAATTCCATGTAAACTTTACATGGTCACCAACGTTACACAGGTCGGGTAC